CGCTCTCCTGCCCCTGCTCTGTATCCTCCATCGATCTCCTGCCCCTGCTCTTTGCCCTCCATCGCTCTCCTGCCCCTGCTCTGTATCCTCCATCGCTCTCCTGCCCCTGCTCTGTGCCCATGCAGGGCTGTGTGTGTGGGAGCTGAGGCAGGGTGTGGGGGGCAGACGTGGGCCTCTGGGAAGGTGCGGAGCAGAGCTGGGGCCAGAGGGCTGACCGGGAGCAAGAGAGCGCCGTGTTTGGGCCTTGGGGGAGGAAGGAGGGGGGTGCTGGGGTGGTTTCTAATTGAAAGAAGCCCTGCTCTGAAGTCACTGCCAAGCTGCGCCCCAGTGATGCAGAAACACGAGCCTGTGGTTTCAAGCTGCAGAACTAATGAGGGCTTCCATGTTGGGAAGAGAGCTTTGATGTTCTGGGTAGCTAGCTGCTAGCAATCTCCCTCTCTCCCACATCACTGGGGAGATGGGGAGAGGGACAGAAAATTGTGGGGAGGGAGGGGGGGGGGTGGAGAAGGCAGGGAGGTGGCTGTGAGCAGATGTTTCCAGCTGTTTGTTTGTACAGATGTTGTTTCATGTTTTGTGTTTGTGCAATTTTTTTTTTCTCCCACTTCTCCGTTCTTTCTGCCAGGAGCTGGCGGATCGCGACGCCCTGCGTGTCACACGAGTCCGGAGCGCGCCAGAGCGCCTCGCCGTCTGTCTGGCCAAGAGGGACGGGAGCCGCACAAATCTCTCTTCCCCTCTGCCCTGTTCTCCCTTTCCTCTCACCTTCTCCCTGCCTCTGCGCCCCCCCCCTCCCCCTCTCGGCGCAGGGTCTGGTCCTCATTAGGCGCTGTGCGCGAGCGAGCGTGCGCAGGCGGCAGTGACACAGCAGTCCGCCGCGAGCCCGCGCGGCCTGTGTGACACAAGTTACAGGAAATTCCCCTCGCCGTCGCTGCAGGCAGCAGACAGAGCAGAACAAGAAAGAAAGGAATGAGGTCACGAGAACCTCGGAAAGCAGCGCTGTGGGGCGGTGAAGGCACGGCGTGACTTCTGGAGTCTGTGACAGAGAGCACCAACACACACCTGTAAGGCCATTCCCCCACTGCCCCCCGCCAGGTGACATGCCCTCCAGCACCGGGCAAATCCCGACCGACTGGGCAGGTGAACAAGCAAGACCTCCTTTTGCACCCAAGACACTCGGGGGAAATCGCATCACACACTGAAGCTTGACTCCAGTGACACCTCCAGACACGTGTACACATCTGCGCCCAGAGCCCTGTCACATTCCCCACCTGGGGCATAGACACCAGTCCCCTGAGAGCCCATCTGCGGCTGGATTCAGATCCCGGAGACAGTGTGTGTTTGTGCCTGCTCTGTTTTAGGCTCGGTGTTTGAGGTAGCCATAGTTCTGTAATGCTGGAGCCTCACAGCAGGTATGCCTGTTGGCTGGATGGCTGATTTGTGCCAGTCTAAATGTGGCTACCTAAGTCCTGCAACCGTAACAGGAAATTATATTTAACTCCAAACCCGAATTTACTTAATTAGTTTATTTGGATTTCAGAATAAGCACAAGGGGGCTATGTTTGCATAGGAGGAAAAATGCACTGAAAGGTGCCGTAACTCTTGTCAGAGCTCTCCTGTGCTGTGGCTCTTCCTGGCCTCCTCCGTGTGGTACCTCACAGGGTTTGTCAGCAGGTTTCTGCCTGCTCTGGACTGACCACCATCAGCAGTGAGGATCCAATCTGTTCTGCACATGTGCGTCTGCCTACTCTCCTATAGCTACAGCTGAAGAACAGATTTATACGCAGATCCTGCACACATCAGGACCGTTCAGAAGATCGAACACAGACTCAGCCTGTCACCCCAGAACACCTCAGCCTTGACACCAGACCACGGACTGCCCAGGCTGACCCATGCTACAAAACCCCAGTGCTAATAACAGGTCATATAGTGTTATTTTATTATTGCATGTGGTACGGACCACATATCAGACACAGATAAATAAAGACCAAATGAGTGGTGGTAAAGTGGGATATGGGAGAGTAAGTCACATACAGATGTTACATGTTGACACAGCAATGCAACTATATGTCCAGCTCAAATATGTGTCAAAAAATGTCCCACACACACTTGCAACTCACCAAAATCACATTTACAATAACAATGACAATGTTTGTCCTTTGTATTTCTACGGTAACACCTCAGGGAATCATCATTCGCTCTTCCAGACAGCACTGAGCCTGAGGAATGTCAGAGACCGAGATGACGCTAGGTTCAACCCAGACAGGGGCTCCAATCATCTGATACATAACTGAACTGGGAGGTCAGAGCTTCAGAAGTTCTTTAAAAGGTCTCAAAGAACCAACATCCACAACACCAGTTACAAATCCTGCACTTTCTCCTCCTCTTTCTCTTTCTTTCTGGAAAGAAGTTCCTTTCATGCAAGTTCACGCAGAGCCTGACCTCTGACCCTGGAATCGTATGTGCAGTTCTGTACAATCTGCAGAGAGCGTGGCTCCCTTTACTCACACTTGATGGTTTCAATTCTGACAAAACCCCATTCAGATTGTCCCAAAGCCTTCTTTAATGGCCCTGATCTTCTTTTTTTTTAATCTTCAGTCATTTTGTTTATTTGCAGCATTTGATTATCAGGCAGTGATGAAGCAGCCTGGTGTATTCTTCTCTTTCTGACTGTTACACAGCTGGTTCTGACAGCGTCCACAGCACAGTGAGATAGACTGGAAGGATGTACAGTATCCGAGGATGAGGAGGAGCAAGTTGTTCTGAAGTTACACGCAGTTCGGAAATGCTGGTTTTGTCCAACGATAATCCCACAGCACGATCCCTAAAACATTTTCCAAATTTTGGCAATTTCAAATGGGAAGACTGAGGGGGTGGGAGGGCAATCCAGTCATGGAATGCAAAGCACCATGAGAGCCAGGAAGAAACTGCAACATAAAAAAATTGAAAAAACAGTGACCACATGTATAGAGGGGCTCTGTGTCTGAGTGATCACAATAACATGTCCACAGTAGAAAGGGGCTCTGTGTCTGAGTGATCACAATAACATGTTCACACTACATAGGGGCTCTGTGTCTGAGT